TATATATATATATATATATATATATATATATATATATATATATATATATACAGAACGAGATCCAGATTTTAACACATTGTTTAAACGAATGACTTTTCTTTAAATTTTTTTTGTGTAATTAAATTTCCTATTCGAAAACAACTTAAAAAATTCTCCAACCTAATATACACTACTCCAAAAAATTAAAATAAGTTGGTCTTTGAAGTCCTGCAATTTGTTTGCAACGAAGTCTTACAATATTCTACTTTAGAACGAAGTATCTACTTTTAAAGGCTTGAACTTTTCTTGCGGAAATTCTCTTTTTTTGTTAAAAAATGATATCCAGAAAAGCTGATATTCTCCATTTTTTAATTGGAATGTAATGAAAGACAATATTAATCAAGTTTATGATATGTTACTCCATATTCGTTTCAATGTGATCTTATGAAGGAAATTCTTCCTTCCACAATTTAACCTTTCAAAAATTTATTTTGATTCAATTTTATTTCATCGTGCTGTAAAATTCCGAAAGAAGAAAGTGGCTTTAGTTTTATTATCCTTTAAAATTAGCATAGACGAGATACAGTAAAATTTGCTTGCAGAAAGTTACAGGAGTTCGAAAATCGACGATTTTCCGATCACTCTATAACATTCGAACGGCGGGACTGTCTGACAAAAATGTGACCGATTATGATTACAATAATTTGTAACTTCATTTATCAACTTTGTTAATATAAATTTTAAGATACTCCCTCTACATAACAGTGTACTGCTTTTAGATAAAAGTTTCGCAAGAATCGTAATATTTTTGATTCAAGTAGACCTAGTGCCTCCGCCCTTCCCTCCGTACGAGTGTTAACAATTCAATTCTATCACCCAGATGCGCCTGCAACGTTTCCAGCGCGAAAAGAAATGAATTACGAAACACGGCTCACACGAAATTGAAAGCACTTCCAGCATTGCAATAATATTCTCCGTCGAACAATTTCCTTCACGTTTCGTCGCGAACGTCTGGAGTCAACAAAGCGGGACGTACGGCTCGAATACGGGGAACGGTTGAATGTTTAGTTATCGAATCACTGTACAAAAGGCGCAATATGTTTCGGAACGCGGGCGACGGGAACGCGCGTGCACCTAGCCCCGGAATGCGAATATTAGGTCATATTCGCGAATCGTCCCTCCTAACTCGATAACCGGGTTTTGACGAAGGTTGAAGAGGTTGTAAGTGCCAGATGGAAAATTATACGTGTGTAGTGGCAAGCGTCGATTCGATTTCGGCGTCGGGGCCTCGGTGGAACAACAGCCTGATGAAATAGCGGCGGAGAGGGCGACCGCGCGGGGAGGGGGGAGGAGGGCGCCGGACCCCAACGACAACGGCACGGTTTTTAATTAAATAATCCGTCGACCGAGAACTTTTATTTCTGCCGAGATATCGACGGAACGATTTATCGGGTTACGTGGACGTTTAATTTCAAGCTAAGCGTTTACACTATGCAAAGTGGGACGACCGGAAGTGAACCGATCGGTACGTCGGAGTGTCATTTTCGTATCCAGCGAAGAGAACTTGACACTTTATCTACCGAATGCTCGTTAATTGGATTTTTAATAACTGTATGTGATAGAAGCTCGATAACTTTACAGGAAGCCGTTCCTTTACATGGATCTGAATTATTTGTTCGATCGAAGCTCTTTTGAACAATTGTTTAAATAAATGTCGATATCGTTGACTTTTATGGACTATTAGAAAACTATTGGAGAGGAACAAGAACGTAATTACTACAAGAAAGTAATTTCGGTTTGCACAAACAGATAGCGTTATGTTTGCATTGTCATTCTTTTATTAAGGTTATAATCTTTTTGTCCTTCAGCTTCGGTAGTTGAGACACGTTTAGGTTACTATAGAAACAAATTCCGTGTAGTTTTGGCTACAGCTGATAGTTTGCTGTCAATTTGAACATGGAGTGCAAAAATGAACATTTTCGACACATTTTACTTTTTTATTTTCACGAAGGCAAGAAATAAATATGCGAAGTTTATGGCATCGATTGCTTAACAGAATGCGCGTGTCAGAATTGGTTCAAAAAATTTCGTTCTGAAGATTTTTCACTTAAAGATGACTAACGTTTTGGACGATCTTCTGAAGTTGATGATGACAAAATCAAAGCCATAATCGAATCGAATCGCCATATAACTGTACGAGATTGCAAAAAGATTAAATTACCACACTGTTATTAAATGTATTATTAAATGTACCAGATTATCATTTATTTCGAAGTTTACAAAACTTTTTAAATGGTAAAAATTTCAATATAATAACGATAGCCTCAAGTCGCACTTGATTGAGTTTTTTACTGATAAGGACACAGAATGGAGAATATTCGATTAATATTTTTGACAAATATTAAAGTTCATTTCTTGCATAGAAATAATTGAGTTTTATTTCACATTGAAATACCGAAATTACTTTCCTGCCAAGCCAATACTATTAATTACGAGTATGAATGAGCCTATTCAGTGCGAACGTCTGTCCAGTTTCTAGCTGTTTCTAAACATTTTGAGATGATCTGGTTTTATATTTAATTGGATTTCACGGTCTTACTTTGGGAATTGTTATAAAATATTCCACTTCATCTTCGGAATATCTACTGTTTTATTTGTTTATTCGGCTTCGTTATTGTTTGCAAAGTAAAAATAATGTTTTTAAAACAAGCACAACTACGATGAATATTTAGACTATGGATCTTTACGAAAAATAAAACTTTTCTGCGACAATTCGCTTCATTCTTCGATTATTTGAATAAGTTTTCGATAAATTCGTTCGATCGCTCATATTGCGTTTTGTATTCGTAAATCACTGCCAAATCGGGTTAAATTGTGATTGATACAAAAATTGCGGTCGAAAGAGAAACCAAAGACTACTCGATGTGAGAAAGTTGGACATTTTTAATAATCACAGCTCGGGGAATATGCTATGCGTATATTTATAGAAATCCTAGCTGCTTGAAACACGAGCAATACATCATTGATTGAAAATGTATCTTTTTTGTGGTTACAGATTCAATTTGTTATCATGATAGGTCACACATGTCAAACTTTATTCCCTTCTTGCGAGCCGCATCGGAAACCGGTGGCGTACATCTACATGTCTCAAATTCTGACCATGTTCTACATGTTCTGCGACTATTATAAAAAATCGTATCTGAGAAAAAAGACGGAATAACCTGTTTACCGATCCGTAAAGTTCGAGGTAAGTTGTTCCTAATTAGTACCATATTTTGCTCTTTCAATATGTTTATTCCAAAAATCTGACAATTAAAAAATAAATTCTGATTATATTCTTGTTCTTGATGGAACTGAGTTTGGACTGCGACTTTCACGTAACACAGTAAACAACAAAATTATCGAATGGATCAACTCACTTCTATCAAAATCCTTTCCAGTGTACTGTTATTTACAACCCGTACACAGGAAGATATCCATTACTTGAGCAAGATTGTATGCGCACCTTGCGATCGAAATAAAACTTTGAATTTCTAAACTTGACATTTTCTAAAACTTGGAATTTCGTTTCATCAAGCCAAGGAAATTGATACATCGAAAGAAATGTGTTCAGTACTTACGTAAAAATAATTGCAATCGCTTCGCATACATTTGCACCGTATGCAAATTGCTAAAATAATGGAAGACCCGTAAATCGGTAAAAATATCGGTACATAAAAATCGATATTGTGTCAACACTTTGTCAGTTACAATATTTTAGTCTTTTGACTTTGATATTATTTTAGTCTTTTACTTATGAATAGACTGCGGGTTTTATGCGTTTATGCCAAATATGAATAAGTCGAATGCAAAACTCTAACGAGATTAGAAGAAGTTCAGTTGACATTATTTTCAACTTATTGCAATTAATCAGATAGGAAAGATATTTTCATTGAATTCTATATCTCTTGCAATTAACACTGATAATTTAGAAGACATAAAAACTTCAGATCGTTTAGATCAATGTTCTACCTTAATCGCTGCAATTTACCATGAAAATCTGCTTACACAGCTATTAACAGTATACGCCTTGTAAATAAATCCAAGCGAGACTTCCACGATGATTTTATTCAAATATGCACCTTTTGTCGGCAGGTCATTTCGGTAAGAATAGCGACGGGCCGCACAAAGGCCGCAAAAAAATCGTAGATTCCAGCTTTTGTCGCCATCTCTTCATTAGCTCTTCCGCCCTCGAAAGCCAGCACGCGTGTTCGCACAGCGATAATTCTGTGGAGAGGAGAAAGATGAAAAAGGAGGAACGAAGAACGCCGCTGAATGGAACGATCGCGCTGGTATGCATGCGACCTGATACGCGTCTTCCGATGCATCGTGCGTGGATGAAATGCACTATACAGAACGATATCTATCGAGGGCCGAGGAAACTATTCCGCGATACCAGGATAAAATTTGTATTTCCAAGTCAGCTTACGTTTTTCGTTCGCCGGAATGCTTTTAGTCGAATACTCACACCCCGCTGCTTTTTTTCTTTCCCTTTCTTTCACCTCCGTCTCCCCCACGTGCCTGTGGATCGAAGCGCATCACGTTTTGTTTTGCGCGACGAAAATCCAACAGATTCCTTTCCGATTCTCAAGCCACGGATTTTCATTTTAGTTCGGCGCATCTGGCAGCCGACTTGTTTTTAAGCGTGCAGAAAGCCTCGGGCCGCTGCAATAAAAAAAAACCAGCATGCCTTTGTGTACTTCGAATTGAGATCGCGGTTAAATTAATTAAAAGCGCGCGCGCGCGTTTCAGCGAAGATCTCGATGAGAATTAGGCTCGTCCCTTTCGACACGGCTCGACGCGGTTTGCCTTAATTGAGGATTTTCTGTATTTTAATGGCGCACTCTTTCGTTTCGCATTGTCTCTTCGAGAATTATTTATCGTTGGTCGGCCGAGTCATGAATGGCTTTCAAAGTAATTTGAAGTTGGAATTGCGTGTGCAAGTTTTTCGTTTTAATAACAACTATCGTGTTGAATAACAAATTCGGATTAGAAGAGAAACTGTTTGTGACTCGATTAGACGTTTGAATTAATTATTTAAGGAGGAAGCGTGTCTGGTGAATGTTTTTTGAAAGGTTATTATATTACGTATAGTTTTGCGTTTTGTTAAGTTAAAACTCTGTTTGTACATTTTCATGTTTATATAAATAACTGTCATGGTTCACTCATTTTTTTTGTAAATCTTCGGTTACACCGTATCCGGCGTTACAGAAGAGAATACTAAAAGATTTCGTCGTATAAATATTGAACAAAATTGTTACCCGAAATAATATGATATATTTATACGGCACATGTAGTTTTTTAATTGATTAAAAATGAAAAATATGTACAACTAATTTGTTTCACTAGAGTGTAAAGATTTAACGATATTGTATATGTACAGCGGATAACGAAAGTATTCGAACACTAGTATAACTTCGACTGCATATGTTTAAATAAATATACATCGAAGGGAAAAGATACTTTACGGGATATTAAAGTATATAAATGTCAGAATGCAAGGAACTTTCAATTTAGTGTAAAGTGTTATCTATGTAATTACAAAAATATAAAGGAACATCGTATTTTCAAGCAACATAAGTATTAGAACGCTTTATAAAATTCAGTCGAAAAGTTACGAAAATAAATTTTTTTATTAATTTGTATTATTTAGTTTTACACCTCTATTGTTTAACAATATGTTTCAAGAAGTTTGACATTTTAAAAATGATTCTATATTTGTGATCGATGTTGTTTTATATTTCTATTTTACACGATTTTATGATTTATTTATAGTATGTATGTTTTTTGTTGTAACTCGTATGACCGATTTCACTTCATGAGGATAGACAGTCGTGTTTAAGGCACGTGTAAATATAATTTGTTATCTTAATTTGTTAACACACACCTGAAGGAATTTGTAAAATTAGAATGCAGTTTTGGTTGATTTCTCCCATGTTACATCAATATTAGCGGCTAAATAGGCCAAAACTGCATCCTAATTTTACAAATTCCTTCAAATACATTAACAAATTAAGATAACAAATTATATTTAGACGACAGTTGCCTTATACGCGACTGTGAATTCGGTCATACGAGTTCCAACAAAAAGCATACATATTATAAACAAATGATAAAATATTATGAAATAGAGATATAAAACGACATCGATCTTAAATAAATACTTATTTTTAAAATGTCAAACTTCTTGTGAAGCATATTGTTAAACAATAGATATATAGAACTAATAACTAAATTTAAAAAGAATTTATTTTTATAACTTTTCAACTTAATTCTATAAGTCGTTCGAATACTTATATTAACATACCGTGAAGTATTTTTTCCCTTCAATGTATATTTATTTAAATATATGGCGTAGAACTCGAAGTTCTACTAATAATCGAATACTTTCGTTACCCACAGTATGTGAAGGGACCTGCCGTTGTCCGGGAAATAAAGGACTGCACTATAAAAAAAGTAAATGGCCTTAATCAGCTATTCAACGAGCTTAAAGATAAGAATATTTTACTGGCTTGATACGTGAACTTGAATAGACTCATAAAAGCTTGAAAATTCTGAGATCATTTGTGAGAAATACTTCTATCACGTCATACTGATCTCAAAATTTAAACGATATATTGATTTTAGAATCCAGTAAAATAGAAGAAGTTGAAAGATAGTCCATTAAATTAACGTCCAGTTTATTTGTTCATTATTACTATTATTTCGCGAGTTCACGCAAACATGGCAGTAATGTAATTCCACTTTACGAGCATTAAAGTAGAGAAAGTGTGAATGTAGTAGACGCCAAGCTTTCTAAGGTTAATTAATAAGAAATTCTTTATTACAGTGTTACTATTATAGATTTCCAATTTATTCGTCACAAATATTTTATACATGTATTACACTTATACAAACTGATATGTTTGTAATAAATATTATTGAATTATGCTTTGAAAGTATCGTTGCATGTGAAACCTTCCTCCAAGTAAGTTCACTGCAAAATAAGTTTCAGTATTCTTCATACACGTTACATTTTTCAACGTTAAACGTTTGTTACGATAATAGCTTTTGCTTTATGTTACAAGGTATATAAAATTTGCCATGCAGATGCTCTTCATTAACAAATATGATAAACGAACACTGATAAATTTAGTAAAAGCAATAATAAAGCAGCATTAAGAAGAAATATACCATGAACTTTTTAAAGCAGATTTTGCCAATACATACATCGTACACCGAATAATCACAATAATCGTCACAGTATAATCACAAAGTATTTATTTTACTAATTTATATAAATCAAACGTTTATTTCAAATTCTTTAGCTGCTTGCTGCTTTAATTTCATTGTAACAATTACGATAGCAGAAAAATATTCCGTGAATAATTATAAAGATGGGGCACAAGATGGCCGAGCAGGAAATTTCCGAAAAAAAGGAACGGACGGAGATTCAATTAAAAAATTCCGTTTTTTTAATGAACGTTTATTTTCCCGGGCACCGAAAATTCTCACACTTGTGGTTGCGTGGCAGCCCATCCCAAAAGCCGGGCAGAGAAAGTCATGGTAGAGTATAGGGTCACGGCTCGGACGAAATTACAGGATAAATAAACCTGACGTTAATAAAGTCTTATCGGCATGCAACCATGCGTGTCTACTTTAAGCCACGGACGCACTAATCCCCTATGCTAATTTCGGTTGGCCAGGAAAACGGCGCCTCTAATACCACCGAGAGAGGGGCGCAGCCTGTCGCTACGTGGAAGATCGTCCCGTTCGTGTGCATGGCTGCCTGCAAAAATGGATATATGCATTCAAACTCCGGCGTGTTAAAACTGGAATCTTCGAGATGACGTGCGCACGACGACGTTCCTAATTATTCCAACAATTTGGAACACCCGAGAGCCAAAATGTTTCGTTTAGAAAATTACAGGTGCAATATTGTAAACCAAATTTCACCCTATACAAGGTGCACAGAAAATTCGGTCCCTACATCTGTATATTTATATCTAGTTGCTTCAGAAATAAAGACACTTCAATTTAATATATTTTACATATAATAATAATAATATAAAATAATAATAAAATAGTATAATAATAATATATAATAATAATAATATATAATAATAATAATAATATATAATAATAATAATAAAATAATATAATAATAATAAAATACTATAATGATATATAATAAGAATATTTTACCAATCTCACAAACATGTCAATCACAAAACTGAACGATAAAAATTTACATTAAGGTTTCAAAATTTGTTCCTTTTGCTTCGATACGTTTTCGAAGTCTCTTCCGAAGATTATTAATGATCATCGCACACTAAGCTGTTGTAATTTCATTCACACATTTTGTAAAGCTAGTTTTAACACATTCGTCGACTTGAATGATTAATGAGAGGTCTTCTACCGTCAATAATAATAATTTTAATAATCTTATTTTTATTGTCCTCTCAATCTTCTTTTTTCTATATCCGGTAGTCATAACAATGTCAGCATTACAAGTCGATAATTGTGATCCGCTCTTTATCGTCTTTCACTTTTATTTAGAAATGATATGCAATAATGATCATAAAATGTGCTGTATCCACTTGCGTCATTAGAATATTATTGTATTATCTTGGATAGAATTAATAAGAGACCATTGTTACAATTTATTATTAATATTATTAATACTTTATTTTATTATTAATATTATTATTATTATAATGTATTTTTAATACAATTTAGGGAAATATCTAGATATTACAAAATCTCTACTATTAAACAGCAATGTAATTATTGAAACTGCTTTAAACATTCAAAAACTAAGATATCGAATCTGAATAATAAATTTACTGTTTTCAAAACAAACAAAAATGGAATAATTAATACATAAAACATAAAATGGTGTTCTTATCTAAAATTGTTAACACGTTGTACGTATAACATTGTTCATAATTACTTGTATTATTTGAATCAAATGAGAAATAGAACGTTCCACTGGACGTTAATATTTTGTCTCAATAATATATCATTTAATTTGGAAGCATGACATGCTTTTGAAGCATGACAAAATATTATATATACGTCTTATTATTAATATAAGACGTATTTGAAGCACGTCATGCTTCCAAATTAAATGATATTGTTACGGCGACTTGTCCAAATCAAGTCGCTGTAATGTGAAACTGCCCTGTTGTGAGCAACTCCTTAAAGAAAAATAGAAGAGAGGGGTTGCCACGGAGGTGTTTTATCAACGGACAATCGAGGAGTCGGGATCGGACCGTCGAGCGATCAACACCATCTAATTCAAAGATCTCTAACATAATTTAATTTAGTTGTATTATATAGTTCGTGTTCTCTATTGTAAATAAAATGCCGCGACGTGGGAGAAGTGTAGTAATTCGTAACAATATATTATCGAGACAAAATATTAACGTCCAGTGGAACGTTCTATTTCTCATTTGATTCAAATAATAGAAGTAAGATAATGCATTGTTCATAATGGGTGATGTGTTATGTCTATTTCAGAACGCAGACACGTCGTCCTTTCATTAAGATGAGCTGTCAGGTTTCAAGGAGAGAGATTACAGATATTTAAAATTTTGCGAATGGTGCACTAGCTACGAGAGACCCGTAATAATGCATGCACCTTGCGTTTCCGCATGCAATACTCACGACTGTGAAAGAAAAATGTGGAGGACGAATCTTTCCTTGCTAAATGTATGACCGTGCTCTTGCTAGCTTCGCTTCGGCACGGCGAATTCATTTTTTAAACTTCGTGCGGTTTGCCCGTATTCAGCGTCCTAGGGTTCTTGTCGGGTTCCTAGCTTTGATATCTGCAAAAATCGACCAAAGAAACATCACCGAAGTAACCTCTGCTAACCTAGAACCGTTCGAATTTTATTCTAATCAACAACATATAGTATCTCCTTGAATCTGACTATTTCGTCTTTTTTTCCAGTAGCCAAATATTGAAACATGTAAATTTAATTCTCTGTATTTGAAATTAAAAATGAAATTCATTTCTATATTATAAATTAAATGTAATTTTTCAAATACAAAATGAAAATATGTGTTAGATTTTTTACGTTCGACGCGTCGGTAATCAAGTTAAACTTTAGTTTATTCAACTTGAGTTTATTCAACTTCACGTAAAATGATAAAGTTTTTAAGAAATATCTTTTGACGTTTTTGCATTTAATGTAAACACATTTAATGTATTTAACTATGTATTATTTTGGTTTCCACACACACAAAAGGGACTGAATATTCTTTAGATATTCTATTATTATTTCAATTAACATTGTTACTCTTTTAAAAGATCTTTGAAGATCTAACACGTTTTAGACGTGTAACTAACGAGATGTCTGAAATGTTGATCATTTCAAAATTATCTGTAGCGACCGAATTGATACCAGTCTGCAAATTCTGATACCGAATCGAATAGTAACAAAGATGTAAGTATGAAAAGTATCGACACCCGTTTGATACCTGACAAAAGTATCGATACCAGTTTGATTAAATAACCTTGACAAAGCTACTCGTTTGAGACAATCTATGAGGATTTCATAATACCTGATTTATATCTTTTGAAATGTTCAATATTCGTTCGAAAATTCAGTGAAATATTTATATTTCTCTGATATTAAAAATTATTAAAATAACA